TGGTTAGTGGACACATGCATTCCAACAAAATCAAATAATGTTATGCTAAAATATATTCCAAATTTGTTGGAATCATCAAAAGAGAAAATTGAGGTCATATTGATCAAATGTTGATCAAGATCAACTCTTAACTTTTAATTTCTATCTTTTCAACCAATGGCTAGAATCTCATACAAATGCCAAACACCTCAAAACTTGTGTATCCACCTCCGCATGCAGATCACATATACCAAATATAAATGAGTTTAAAAGAGATAAAATAGGGGGAAAAACATGTAAAAGTTTAAAACGATCGACTATAAAAATCTAGCCATCTGAAGGGTTGTAATGAGTGGAAGGCAAGTCCCTACAATAGATTAATTGAGATCATATTACGTAGTCAAAAACCCTATACATTTAGAGAGTAGTAATAAATGGATAGGTAAGACCTAATTGCATAGACTGAAGCAAGCTTAACATCTTGCTAAAGCCTACAAAGACTTAAGTGAGCTTAATATCTTTCTAAAGTCAAAAGCTAGATCAATATCGAGTTAATTTGTTGTTTGTAGGGAAGATTGTCAACATAGAATTTTATCCTTAGGAATATAGTTCAAGACGTAAAAATATTAGTATCATTGAATACAATGAAATTATTACTATTAACTATGAATAAGAGGCTATTATACTCCTATATAAAAGAGTACTCAATTAACTACTACAATAAGAAGAACATGTTCCTATCAAGTGTTATTCCTATTGTTCTTGAGTTGTAATAAGTAAATTCGTGTGGTTCCAAAATAGTATACTTATTACATTCATAGAAATATATATTAGGTGTTAGATTTTTATTGTAAAGGGATTTCATAAACTGGGTTAAATTTTTGATAGAGGAGTGTGTGTTGTTAGAGTCAGTTTCTTTGGTGAACAAATAAAAAGAGTTAAAATGTAATCATTCATCAAAAAATTGAATTGTTGTAATTTTTGTATTAGTTATTGAAGATTGATTCAAAGTATGACTTGGTCAACCTTAATTTGTTAGTAGTTTCCTATTTCCTTGGGTTGTTAGCATGCTGCATAATTTTCTAGTTTTCTGATATTAGATAGTTGTTGATTAGTTAGTGGAGTAGTGGTCAACTTTCTGACTTAGTGATCTGTTTATTTGTATGCCTATTTAAAATACATTACTTTGCTTTTGAGTTTATTAAACAGAAAAGCTGAGATTTAAGCACATATCGAGAACTTTTACTTTCAGCCTTTGTTCTTAAAGTTTCTTTTCCAAACATTAGTAGTGTATGGAAGTTTTGGAATAACTCTATGAGAAAATATAATTATCTGATGATGGCTTGACGAATTCTTCAAAAGAGATTTTGATGATGACAACATAAACCTGGTTCACATAATCAGTACTGGATTTCAAAAGTCAAAGAAGCAGGAAAGGTTCACTCAGGCTAATATAAAAAAGGAAGAGTTTGTTTTAAAACAACAATCCGAGGCAAAAGAGGAATACACTAAAAACAGACAATTCAAACGCAAATAAGGAAAAATGCATATAAGTTCAATAAGGAAAATGATTAGTATTCAAGGAAAACTAATTTCCTTTCTTATAGAAATTGGTCAGGCTAAAATCAGTCCCATATAAAAGGACAAGACGGAAGAACGAAAGAGACTATCTTTGCCAAATCATAAATCACGAGAATCATTTTGAGCGAGGGCCGAAACTATTCAAAGATCCACAAAGTAGAAGAAAGAAATACTAGAGTTAGGTTTCTTTTTGTAAGTAGATTTAAGAGAGTGTTGAGAGAAAATCTGTAACAAGAAGAGAATTTGAGAAATTGTAACAAGAAGCGGGTTTGACTTCTTGGAGATTTGAGTTTAAGAGAGTTGTGACAAGAAGTGAGTTTGACTTTTTCGAGAGTAGAGGTTAGTTCATTGATTATTAAGTTGTAATCTTGAATTGAGTTGAAGTTAATAAAATTGTGGAGAGAAAGGTTTCCACGATAAAATCTCTATTTTATTGTGTTGTGTATTTTCTTAGGTAAACATGCAAGAACCTGGTTCTTGCACAATGGGTAAGGTTTCTACATCTGATTTTGGTAGAAGAAATTCATAATTATATTACCATTCATAAGAAATCTAGCTTACATAAATTCAAGCTAGGAAGGTGCTCTGAGGATCGAACTAGATAAATATAAAACATATCAGGATAGGTTAATTTGATAAGCCTAATGACAATGAAAAATAGTTTCTGGCTCACCTCTGACTAAGTTATCCGATTAACAAGATATCATTTAATTTGTACAGAGACTTTGAATGTGCTGCGTTATATCAGTGTGATTTATAGTTTGTTTTACCAAGTTTTACGAACTCATTTTGAATAATATTTTTCTAAAAAGAAAAATTATAGTTATAGTGAGAATTAAGTAATTAGTTTGGCTAATTAATTTGAAAACATTGTTAAACAACAATTAATATTTGTTCAAGTTTTAAAAAAGTGCTTTTCAAAAAAAAAAAATTGGACAAAAACTACTTTTTTTCTACTTCTCTTCTAATCAAAAATATTTTTTGAATTTCTTTTTGTGAAGGTAAACTCAAGCTCAGAATAATCTAATATTAATTTCTTTAGATACTTGTCTCCTGTTTGCAATGCAAAATAAAAGAAGGAATATTCAATACTAATATTTAAATTTCTATACCGAAAAACTGACAAAGTATAAGTGCCTTAAGAAGTATATATAAATTTCAAAATTAATAAGCATGTAAATCGTACAACTTCACTTACAAATAATTATCTAATTGAATCACATCAAGATTATATTTTCTTGGTTATTATTCAATCTCTACAAGGCAAGTAACAAAAAATGGAACCCTTCAACAATTTTTTAGCTATCGTACAATAATTAAAAATATGACGACAATAATAACAATAAACAATTTTTACTTTTTAAAAAAAATAACAACATAAGTACTCTATCCGAACCATCATTAACCCTACTGGAAAGCCACTGATCAACTTAGATGCATTCAATGAACAACACATATCTTACACGAATATTTCAACATAAAGCCCTAAATAATTTAAAACCCTGATTGTGTCTATTGCATAACCTAAAACAGATTATCATTAATTACAAAAAACACGATAGTAATATCTCAAAGTTGAAGCAATAAAATAATTGGATATTCCCATAGCTAGATTTGGGACTTCAACAAGAGAGAATACAAATATTAATCATGAATCTGCAGGTACATAAACCTCATTTGTAAATCTCTTGTTAAATGTTTTGTTTAGTTGCACCAAAAATTAAATGTGATTTATGCTACTTAAGAGGAATTAGGCGGGTTACACTTGTATATATATATAGTTGCCTTAAATATTATTAATAAAATAAAATTACATATACTAATTATGACAATGTCTGAATAACCTATTAGTTTCAGAATAATCTTGCTATGTGCTTAAATATTTTAAAATAATACTCTAAAGTCTTACATATATTGTAACAGTAATAGTTACAGTGAAATATAGGCAAAATTCAATTTTTCACTTAGGTTAAATCACAAAAATTGTTCAAATGAAGTATTTTTCTCTTTTTAAATGTTTCTACTTGACCTAGATCTGGATTGGTTAGATTCCTAGATTTTTAACTAAAGAAATGATACCATTTTTTTAATATAAAAATAAAATTTTCTTATAAAAAATCATACTTTTGATCAATAGATAGAGACATGACTCTCCCATAATGGCTAAAAATGGCACGTGAGTCACCACAATTCACCATAATAATAGTATTTTTCCCCGTTAGAATCACCAGATGGAGCCTCCGATTTCAAAGTGTTGTGGTGGACAGCCACAACGGATACATATACCACACAAATAACATGTACCAAAATTCATCTCATCAATCCTTTCGAAACATATCTTCAACACTCTTTCCATGCCTCGTTGACCCTCTCACATTTCAATTGGTGTCATCTCTGACAAGAGATATTATCGTTGCTGCTATTGCGCGCTACCATTTAAGATCTACCTCGTAATCATAAACTCTTCTTGGAGTACAAGGTGCATTCTATCTCTACATAATGCAGCTATCTGCATCAATAATTTTCATAACCGTTATAAGAATTGGTCCTTATTAGCTATTTAATTTATGTCCACTTTAATCTCAGCTATTACTACTAAAATGAAAAAAAGAAGAGGGAAAATAGTTTTTTAGTTTAGTTTCTTTTTACATGAGGTCTATCATGTCCATCGTAAAAAAAAAAATTAATGGTGCGATGTTGATTGACATAAGGGGAGCAAAGATTTGGCCAAATAGATATCATATCTTCCATTGAACTTCTTTTTCCAAATAAATAAACTGCTCCAACCATCGATACCGGTTCTTTTGGTGCGCCTGTTTCTGATGTTGTCGAATTAAAATCACTCATCCTAAAATTTGGTACAAGAAGACAGATGAGGAAGAATTAATCAACAAAGAGGGTTGAAATAAGAATTGCAGAAGCCTTCTCGGAGAAATCGTCACTAGTGAAAATATTACACAGATATATTGATATTTATTTAAGGAGTGTGGAGAAGTGCCAAATACACATATTGTATTTTTGTAATCTTTGTGGATGAAAGACACTTGTGAATGATTTGAAACATAAGTTGCTAATCAAACCGAACCGACACCCCTAATAAAAAAAGAAAAAAACTACTCCATTTATTTTGTATTAAAACCGTCCATTTTCATCATCCCAACATACCATAATGTTTTTTATGCATAAAAAAAAATAAAAAATCCCCTATATATTCCTATATTTTGTCCTTATTAGTCTTGAAGGTTACAATAGTACATGGTATCCCTGGTTCATATTACCCTTATATATAAGCCAACAAGAAGAGTACCAACACAGCTCTACAAAGTTGTACCAATAGTATCAAAAATTGTACTGTACCATTAAGCCCTATTCACTATTGAATAAACACGTGGGCTACACGTGTCCTTCTACATGCTTTAGTTTTCAATTATTTTCCTATGGTTCTTTCACCAATCTATCATCTTTTCAGTCATTTTCTACCTTTCTATTTTTTATTCTCATTCTCTCTCTTGATGGAGAAGTCGAAAAAGTGACTTAGAAATGGAGGTATTACATTTTCGGAGAGGAACATCAAATTGATGGAAATATAGTGAAGAGTGATTTCAGTCCCCGGTTGGAACATTAATTTGGTGATGAAATTTCACATTTGACTATCGAAATGGGAGGTAATCTTTCAGTCCAAGTAAATTTTTGTGTTTTCCTTTCAGTTTTTGGGTTTGATTATTTTTCCCGAGATATTGAATTCTTATTTATCAAAGTCAAAATTATCTTTTATTTTTATGTTTTTTGATTTGGGAATTGGAGAAACTTTACAGGAAGCCCGTCATTATGAAATGGATGCAATAAGGAAGAAAGAGAATTAAGTAAAACTCACTAGAAATCTTGTGAGCATTTGGCTTTAACTGATTTTGCACATGCATGTACTCATTCACTATTTTGTCTCAATTTCTTAGGTGTAGAATGTATTAGAAGAATTCAGTGAGAATATAGAAAGGCTCTGTGAGAAAAATTCTCAAAGGTTAGTACTATATATATCCAATAGTCATTTTTTGGAGATTATCTCCCCTTTTTTCTCCGCAATTTTGTCCTGTTGATAAGTTGGAGATTTGATTGGTTCCACATACTTCTGAACAATCTGCTTCTGTAAAGTTCAACTTTTTTGCTAAGCAACATATTTGTGTTCTTTCAAATTCACAAATATTGATTATTTATGAAGTGAAGTGAAATTATTTATCATATAGGACTCGACAACGTGAACAAGATATCACCTTCAGGTCATTTAGGTTGGGCCTGTATTGACTAATTTGGTTGAAGGTTGAGTATTTGTGGTCTCTCTCTATAATGTTTATACTCATGGCTCGTGGGGTGGTTGTACACTCTTGTCATCACTTACCCAATTATATATTTATCATATGTAGTCTAGCTGGAACATGTCTTCACTTATACAACTATGTATTTATTGTACGTAGCCTGTCTGGAACAAAATGATCAATATTGTTTGAAGGTATATGAGCTTATTTTTTTCGTACATGTACATAAAAATGTCATGCTCTATCCATATAGTTAAATTACTTTAGTTGTATTGTTAAGGTGAAAAAGACGACACCGAATTCAACTATGTTGGGCTGCTAAGATTTTTTTGGATTGGGGGGGAGGGGGAGGGAATGCTTGTTGTGCTACTTAAGCGTTTTTCTCTTTTTATGTGTTGGGGTGGTGCTTTTTGTTGTTGTTATGCTGTTGTGTTTGTTCAGAGTCTTTAGATTAAGAGCTAGGATGATTAAAGGTGACATTTTAGGATGTGTAAGTGTTTAGTTGAGGTGCTTCTTAGAGTTCATGTATTTATTCAATTTGTATAGTAAAATTGGTTAGATGAACCTGATAAGGGTGGTAATCCTCAAAAGTTATCTTTTTTTTCTTCTTTATCATTTCTTGTTGTTATATCCATGTTTCATCAGGTGACATGAAGTTTGGGAATGTCCTTTGTTCCAATCTGGACCTTTTATGCTACTTTGAGCTGTTTTTTTTTCTCTCTTTCTTTCCTTTTATTGTGGTGTTGGTGTTGTTTTATTGTTATTTTGAGCTTGCTTGATCAGATTTCTCTTCAAGTGTTGTAGCAATTGCATCACAAGTTTGATGAAATTTTTCAAAAATGATTGAATCTGCCACTTTTCTTTATTTGTTTCTAGAGTGAAGGCTGAAAAAATTACCTGAACTGAAGGAGAAGTGAGTTTCTTATCTGAAATATCACTATATGTTCACATAGGAGAAGTAAACTATTGATGGTTGACTTGTGTTTTGACAAATAGTTGGTGATAGTTCATAGTTCAGTGATGAAATTCAAATACCGAATACTTAAGGTGTGATTTTTGCCATTGACTCTTTGTTTCTCATTTCTTGCACAATGGTTGTTTGGTTATTTCCTATTAATGAAATAATAATGTATATGAACTTGCATGACCTTTATTGTGAATTATAATCTTCCAAACTACTTATTTTGGCTTCTCCGGGAGGTGATGGACAGATGCGAAAAAGAAAAGTTAGTGTATGACTCATGTTGGATGGCAATGTCAATATTACAGATGGTTGCAAAACACTTTCAATGTCATGCATTTATATTTATTTTTTACAATTATATATCAAGTAAAGAACATATTTTGCCAAGTTCTTTTTGGCAGTTTTTTGGCAGAGTCCATAGAAACATGCCTTTGATTTAGATTGTGTCACGAGTCGTTCTCTCTACTAACTGTCAGAATAATCCGAAAGTCAATCATTCCCAGCTTTGATATGAAGGTATGGGGGAGATCAAAAGGGAGTATGTTAGTCAAATAGAGGGCTCTCAGGTGCATATCCTGTTTCTCCATTTGTACGAGTACATTATTTTTTGTAGAACAATAATAACAATCAATACCATAGATTCATAACTATAAATTGCTTATTGCAAATATAGCAATAACAGAAAAGGCAAGATTCTTACCTCCTCCTTGCCAACTTCTACATACATCTCCCTACATGATTCATATAATTGTAGCCAAGGTAAGAAACAACTGTACAAGATAACTTGACAATACTCTTATTGTTATAAACTCTATCCCTCCCCCTATTACAAGTTCGATAACACTACAAGCAAGAGCAAAATTGTATGATCATTTGAAGAAAATAAAAGATGTAGCTTTTAAACTCTGCATAAAGGATTTGTTTTTCTCATTCCAATGCTTCAATGACAATTTTCTTACTAGGAGCACTGAGCACAAATTATTGTATCATTGAACACACTAAATCACCATTTAAAGAAATAATAGTAATGAGAAGCTTAGATGAATTGTCAATTTTCTATTCTTTGACAAGTCTAATAATTCAAGTATTTAAGAATTTTAATTAGTTTATCCTCTCTTAAAATTTTATTGAGGACTCTTTTAGCAAAGAGAAGTCTCATCGACATCGGACCTTATTTAATAATTCTATTCGAGTATTAAAATGAAGATATTTTTTTAGATGTTAATGGAACTCTTTAACATCCTTGCAGACTAATTAAAGAAAGAAAGAGGCAAGGTATTAAGAATGTATTCAGTGCTACTTCAATCAAGTAAGTTTTACTTTTTCTGGTGATTATTTTTATTTTATTATGTAATATGTGGAATATGGATGGAGAGATTTTATCTACACCCTCTTTTTTTTTTGTAGACATCTTAAGATATCCAGCCATTTTTCGAGGAGTTTACTTTAACTATTGTCATGTCATGGGAGATGAAAACTCACCAAATCTTTTTAGTTCGTCTTGACTTTGTATTTGTTTATATTATGCACACTCTATAGAGTTTCACATTCTCATGGATTTGACTCCTTTGTGATTCAAATACATCTGGTATACTCACTAATTAGTACTGTTGGATCCTTGCTCACCTATAGTTATATTGTTGAGTGAGGCAAGTAACTGAGAAAAACAATTAAATTCCAAAAACAGAACAAGAAGGAGCCAACCCATGAAAAAGGGAAAAACATTCAAGTTCCAGAAACAGAACAAGGAGGAGGCCAAATCATGAAAAATGATTGATTTCAAATTCTCTAATTTTCAAGACTTAAGGTACAATTTCACATACCTTTTTCAGGTTTTTGAAATTGTAGGTCTCTTTTTCTTGAAAACAAACCACAATGTTCTATTTTGAATGGTGTTGTAGTAGTATTTAGTAGTTATTCTTGGATAGAAGTTACAGTTTTAGTATTAGATACAAAAAATTTAAAATACTTCACCTGTAGAGTCGACTTTATAGTAGTTCTGGGATTGAGAGACTAATGATGGTTGGGAATGATTTGGTAATATTCTTTCCCTTAATGAGGTATTATGTGTGATTTTGACACACATAATATCTAATGAAGAAGGTTTTACATATTATGTGATTATGCATGTGGGATAGGTTTTGCTTAAAAAAATTGTCGTTCAGATTTTCATTTATTGAATTGATAATCTTAAGTCGAGTAGTAAACTTAAATGAAAGGATACAAACATAGCTATAGCATGCTTTTATCTCTGTCACACACTCAAACTATTAATGTTAGAGTTAAGGTTAATGGCTAAGCGGGTCTAACAGATCTATGTACTCCGTCCCTCTATATTATCATTTTTAGTTTTACTTAGTTGTTCATTATCACTTTATTAGATTCAGAAGCTACCATCTTTGCTGAGCTTTGTAAATCAAATAGCATTCTGTAATATATGATTTTTAGGAGGACAAGAAAAAAAATTGTCCATAATATCTTAAGACTGCTTCCTGTTAAGGATAGTCAAGGAGGAAAACAATGTGATTGAGATGACACATGTAATTTTATTTTTCCCTCTTTTTTTTGTTAAGATAAATGAAAGTCCAGAGATAAATTCTTCCCTCCATATATCATTTTACTTGTCAAAAGAAAAAAGAACTTGTCACCTAAAAATATATCACTTAATGAATTTATATTGAGTAGAGATTTTGGCTCAATTTTGCTAAAAGAGGACTTGAGCAAATGTGTACCTTTATAAGGTGTTCGTAGTGTAGATAAGAACATACATAGCAAGTCAAGTCGGTAAGATGGAAGTTGGCTTTTAAAAGAACTACTTAATTAACTTCTATTTTTATCACCTTGATATAAATATGCAGTTTGTGCAAATAAGAAGTTGATAGACTTAACAAGAACTTGTGCTGATTATTTTTGGTGTGTGCACTTCAAATAATTTGCAGGGAACAACAAATAGTAATGTCTGGGCACAGAAGAGTTAGATATGTACAAAAAGTTGAAAAGTTGATGTTCTCCATAGTACATTGGATAGTCCAGATGTTGACACATTATTAGTAATGTCTGTAAATGCAGAATGTTTCTAACAACTTCGAGCATTCTCCCTTTCTTACTTTTTGATTATTTCGTTTGGGTGCAAATTTGAGTCAATATTTTATGTAGTCTACCTTATCAATGATTTTGCAGATGCTTGAGTGAATACATTTTATTTCCATACTTGATCATCCCTTTCGCTAATTCATATACACAATTTGAATAAAAAATTTCTTTGCAATAAATATAGCTGAATAATTTTCAGCATACTTTATTATTTATCGAGAAAAAATCAACTATGTTGGGCCCGTGCTAAGCACGGGCCATGCCCTTCTAGTCTATATATACATATATTTTTGTAATCTGCACCTCTTTTTATGCATTTTACATTTCATTTGTTCGCATCTGTTACCTGCATTTGTTTATTTCTGATAAAATAAATCCTCAATTTCTCAACTAGAGACTAGACTGACAAAAATAATGACGAAGTAGAGAGTGGTTTCGAGAAAAAAAAATCTATTTGGTTAGAATTTGCTACTTGTTTCTTTTTGGTGTGTGAAAATAAGGTGTTGCGATTATTTGTTGAGTTTCTGAATCGGAAAAATGACAGTCTAACATAAATACATTTCATTTTTCAACCAGTTTTTCCGTCTAGTCAAAAAGTACTTTTTTTTTGCTAAAAGTCAAAAAGTAATTATTATTATACTTATAAAATGCCCAAACAAAAAAGTAAAAACAAAAAACTATTATTTAACTTTTTAATTCTTTTTCTCAAGAATTAAATTTGTAGACGAAATCATTATTTTTATTTCTTATATTTAAATAATAAAAAATTGGTGTGTTTGTTAAAAAAAACCAATAAATTGAGAGATTATCATTAAAATTATGTTGCACAAAACTAATGTTTACCTAATGAATTACTACTCTCAATCAATTTTCTCTAAATTAAAATGAATACAATTTTTATATAATTAATTTAGTGTACGTGCTTTGTACATGTGTATTACGATCAATAAAATTATATATATAAAAAAATAAAATAAATAAAAAATTGTGATTGATTTTAAACTATATATTTTATATATTTAAATGATATAAATAAATAGGAATAAGGGTCTGAAAAATATCCCAACTTTGGTCGGATTTATTGTTGCGATACTAAACTTTCATAAGGACCTATTACCTCCCTAGCAACTTTGGTCGGATTTGTTGTTGCGATACTAAACTTTCATGAGGACCTATTACCTCCCTAGACTATTTAATACCGTATTTTAAACATATATATTTTTTCACGTGGACATAAAAAATAATGCAAAATTATAAATAGTAATGTGTCCACGTGAGCACATATATACCTTTAAAATACACTATTAAATAGTTCAGGGGGGAAAAAATACGGTATTAAATAGTCTAGGGAGGTAATAGGTCCTCATGAAAGTTTAGTATCGCAACAGCAAATCCGACCAAAGTTAGGGTATTTTTCAGACCCTTATCCCAAATAAATATTTGTTAAGAAATGTCTTATAAAAACCCGCTTATAAAAATCATACCCTGTGATCAATATATAAAGGCATGGCTCTCCCACCATAATTTGCCATAATAATAGTTTTCCCCGTTAGAATCGCCAGGTGGAGCCTCTGATTCCAAAGTGTTGTGGGCATCCACAAGGGATACCTATACCACACAAATAACACGTAACAAAATACATCTCATCAATCCTTTCGAAGCATATCTTCAATACCCTTGTCCACACCTCCTTGACCCTCTCCTATATTTCAATTGTTGTTGTCTTTGACGGGAGTTGCAACTGCCACCACTTAAGATCTTTCTCATAATCATCAACTCTTCTAGAAGTACAAGGTACATTCTATCCCTACATAATCAAGCTACTTGCATCGATAATTGTTGTAACCGTTACAAGTATAGATCCTTATTCGCTATTTAATTTATGTCCACTTTAATCTAGTCTACTACTAAAATGAAGAATAAAAAGAGGGAAAATAGTATATATTTTTTGTAGTTTCTTTTACATGAGGTCCACCATGTCCATCAAAAACAACAAAGAAATCAACTGGGCGATGCTGATTAATATAAGCAGAGCAAAACTTTGGTCAAATAGATATCACATCTTCCATTGAATTTTTTTTTTCACATTAAATATACTGCTCCAACCATCAGCACGGGTTCTTTTGGTGTGTCTGATCCTAATGTTGCCTAATTAGAATAACTCCTCTCGAATTCGGTACACGGAGATTGATGAGGAAGAACTAATCAAAAAAGAGGGTTGAAATAAGAATTGCAGAAGCCTTCTCGGAGAAATCATCACTAGTGCAATTATATATTGGCATTTATTGAAGGAGTGTGGAGAAGGGCTAAATACACTTATTGTATTTTTGTAATATTTGTGGATGAAAGAAACCTGTGAAAACAAGGTGTTGCAATAATTTTTTAAGTTTCTGAATCATAAAAATAACAGTCTAATATAAATACATTTCATTTTTCAACCAGTTTTAGAGTCATAAAAGCTTACCTAAATGATTTAGCACAAGAAATCCTTCAACAATCGCCTTCAAGGTTTCCCAAGCTCAGAAATGGAAAACAAGGCTTAAACCCCGAAATTTGCAGGTCAAAACTGCTCTATGATGTCTCTAAAGCGACATGGGGTTCACAAAAGTGAACCCTACAAAAGGGCGCCTCTCGCAAAAGCGAAGCCCCTTTCGCTTTCACGAAAAGGCTCTCGCTTCTGTGAAGGTCGCTTAAGCGACTAGCCTTCGCAAAAGCGAGGCCTGCAGATACTAACACACACAACCAACTCTCAAAACATCGAAAGGACCCTCGAAACTCATTCTGAACCCCGTGCACATAAATTCCATATGTAAATCAATTAAACTCAACATTTCAGGCCTAATGAAATCGTCAAAACACAAATTCGAGGTCTCCTTGACTCAACATCCGTAAAAACTACAAGAAATCAACTTAATGCCTAAAAAGCTAAAACAAGCTTGGGACCTCTCAAAAAGCAACCAACACCCCACCTAGGCCTAAAATCATCCCCCAAATCCGAACACCGAATGTTGACCAAAGTCAAACCAAAGGATAAATTTCCACAATTTCACAATTTAGGACCTCAAATCCACAAAAGGACTCATAATCCAAAACCAACAACTCTCAACGATCTGATTGCACATTTCGAGACTGATGAAATTGATAGAATTTCATTTTGACACTTGAACTCCAAAAGACGCCGAAAATCACTTTCTTAATATCTTTAGTCTTTTAATCTCAAAACTTACAAAATTCTCAACTCTAAACTCAAGGTTTGAAACCAACTTTCAAAACTCAGTCATACAAGACTCGGGATCGATTTCAGTAGGGACAAAAAGGTCAATTCACAACACTTTTAAAAAATGACCAACCGAGTCATTATATATTTATAATTATTTTTAACATTTTAGTTGTTTTAACGTTCTTTCCTTTTTCATTCTTGTAATTTACACCTTATTTGGATGGTTATATTGTATTGTTGGTCTAAATACAATATTTGTTTTGATTAGTTAAATTATATTATATCGTATTGTTTAAATCCATCATTAGAAAACGACGAAACAATCCATTTTATATAACGATCAATTTAATACGATGCATTATGAAATAATACGTAATACAAATAAAGTTTTATAGTTATTTTAACATTTTACTTCATTAAAAGTGTTATAGTTTTGTGATTTTAATGAAGATAATGTTGAAATAATTATAACACTTCGTTTGGATGATTGTTACGTATTATTTCATAGTGTATCATATTAAATTGGTGGTTATATAAAATGGATCTTTTCATCGTTACCTAATGTTAGAATTAAACGATACGAAACAATATAATTTAAATAACAATAAAAATAAACATTAATGTATGTAGACTAACAAGTACAATCATCCAAACAAGGTGTAAATTACAAGAATGAAGAAGAAAGAATGTTAAAATAACTAAAAATTTAAAATAACTAGAACCATAGTTTTAAAAAATGTTAAATTAAATAAAGAATGAAAAATAATTAGGTCTGGTAGCAGCGGTAAGGCGCAAAATCCGTCATGTGCCTTTCTCATTTTCTCCATTACTGACGTAAATGGCAAGGCATGTGGGCTCCTACGCCTTTACCCTTTTGATTTCTTTCATAAATTATTTTCCCTTTTGAATTTTTTGATCAATTTTGAGGTACTTTTCGCTCTAGACTCGTTCCTTTTGTGTACAAATAAAAAAAATGTAAAATAAAAAAATTTCATTCATTGAAAGATTAAATATTTAAATAATTGTGATTTTTGTATTAATAGAGTGGGAGTTTTGAAAATGTTCTATTAAAAAATATAATTATATGATCTCGATAAATGAAAATCATAATTATATTATCATTTGTAAAAATTCTAGATTATATAAATTCGAGTTCGGAGCCTAAAGGTTCAAAAATTATTGGCCAAAAATTTCAAAAGGGCAACATTTAAATGGTAGGATAAACACCGTGTAAGTTAAGGTAAAAATATGCAAGGCACAGCTCCCTATGCGCATGCGCCTTGTAAGGCGCATAGGGAGGTGCGTCCTTGCCTATTGATAAAAAAAAAAAATTCATTGCAATATATTTTTTTCCATTAGTATTTAGCTTTCTTCACTAATGAAATATGGAAAATAGTTGAACTTCAATACAATTTTAATGCATGCATAATATATTTCTAGTTTCACCAAGAAATGTTTCTTTTCCTTATCTAATACCAAAATAGGGCTATTGTTTTCATCAGCGGATTGAGTCTAAATATGTTGGAGAATAAGTTAAAAATGTTGGAGTTCATCCTGCTAAAAGCTGGTTGAAAATTGGCCAAGCGGAATAACGGATCCTTCCAACAATATTATGTTCTCATAGATGCAACCTTCGTTTTCATCATGAACAATACTATCATTTTATCCAAAGCTCACATGAACTATATGTACTACAATGATTTATTTTTTATCAATAGACAAGGACGCACCTCCCTATGCGCCTTACACAGACCTGCGTCTTGTAAGATGTTGTCAACTCACGCCTTATAAGACACAAAGGGAGTTGCGCCTTGCGTATTCTTACCCTAATTTACACGGCGTTTATCCTATCATTTAAATATATTTTTTTTCTTTTTTTTTTAGCGTCTAACCATTTTTTATTAAAACAAAAATCCTCAGCAGAAATAAGTACAAGCAAGGGGGGCTAGGCCTTACCTTGTCAATCCTATGAGGTAACAGACCTCTACTAATTAACAAGCATGAAGAAAATAAGAGCTAGAGAGAACTAGATATTCTATGATCATCACAGAATTCTTAATACACTCTATGATGATATTACAAATGAGAATACTTAAATAATGCACAAATATAAAATCCAAGAAGAAAGTTGAGTTATCATTTAAATGTTGCCTTTTTTATTCTCAACGTATTTTTATTGCCCTTTTGGAATATTTGGCCAATTTTTGGCTCCGAACTATCCTCCAAGCTAGCAAGGTGCTCAGAGGGTCGAACTGGATAAATAAGAATATATTAGGACAAGTTAATGTGGAATGCCTAATTAATGACAATGAAAAATACCTTCTGCTCACCTCCAAGCTAGAAGTTATTCTGTAACAAGATATCATTTTATTTTGTATAGAGACTTTGGAATGAGCTGAGTTAACATGATATGATATATAGCCTGTATGATCAAGTTTCAAATATCAACTTGTTTTGAATAAATATGTTTTTTAAAATACTTATAATGAAAAGCAATTTATTTCGATAATTAATTTGAAAAGCATTGTTAAACAACAATTATTATTTGATCATGTTTTTAAAAAGTGCTTCTAAAAGTTACTCGAAAATGCTTTTTGAAAGAAAAAAAATACTTTTGTGGAGAAATTACTTGCTTCAACATTTGCTTCTCCTCAAAAATATTTTTTATTTTCCTAAATGCTTGGCCAAATATCTAAAAAAAAAATTTTAAAAAAACAAATACCTTTGACCTTGGAAAATCAAGTTTGACCAACCAGACTAATTAGAGATGCATGTTAATGAAATTTTTCAGTCATGCGAAAACTAAATCAAGATTAAGATTGAATATCACATCATTCATGGCCATAAAAAGCTACATGCTAAAAGCAACTTAACAGAAAAAACAAATTGCAGTCATTAATGCAAATACAAACCATAGTCTTTAAGCTTCCTCTATAAGAGAAAAACTTATAAGCAAAGTTTAATAAACCATCTCCAACTTGGTTAGTTATATACTAACTATCCAAGATATTCAACTAAACTTCAATATAGTCTATCTTTAAATCAACAACAATAACACTTATGTTATCTTCGCTACCCCGTCCCATAGCTAGCCGAGTAAGCAACGCTGCTGCTGCTCTACTTGGGGAAGAAAATACGTCTCCTCTCCCAGATGGCTTTTCTTTTTGAAGACATTCTCTCGCCACCTGACACGCCTCTTCATTTGATATAACGTTCCACAAACCATCACTGGCAAGAATTAAACACTCATCTTCTGCTTCCCTTTTTGTGAAGGTAAACTCTGGCTCAGATATGATATATTTCTTTAGATACTTGTCTCCTGTTTGCAATGCAAAATAAAAGAAGCAGACATTGGATGAACGGAAATACAACACACAATTCCAACATAAGCCCTAAATAATTTAAATCATGATTGTCTCTATTTTTATAACCTAAAACGAATGATGGATATAAATGTTGCTTCAATTGGTAACTGCAATAATGTCATTGCATAGAGAAATAGGTTACTGAAAAAGGGAAAATAAGTTACCTATTGCACGAGACGTAGCCAGTATTCCTAGAACTCGTGCACAATCGTCAAAATCAACATGGCCTCCACATGCCTCTATTCTAGCACGTTCCTCTGGTCTGTCTGGCTGTAATGAAAAGTCAAATTATTTTCTTCAAGTTGTGCACTACAATACCATATTGTCATATCTCAAAGCTGGAGCAAGAAAATAATTGGATATTTCCTTAGCTAAATTTGAGACTTCAACAAAGAGAGAATACAAACATAAATCATGAATATAATCTTTCCATCAAATCCAATTTACAAAACTCTTGTTACATGCTTTATTTAGTTGCACCAAAATCATAGTGTGATTTATGAATATTTAATCAAGTTGTAGATGTGTCAGCCAAACATGTAATTAGTTATAATGAAGCTCATAATAGGAGGGATAACCCTAGCTAACAGTCCGGTCATATCAATTAGACAAAATGCAAATGTCTTGTATTAAAATTAGGTATGACAAATCAATTTTATTTTTAAGGTGAGGCCTTTTCTATTGGTTGTCCAAAGAAAAAAATGTGGAAGAAAGCAGGTTACTCTTGTATAATTGAACATTTACACAGTATTAATGTACATCTTAATTTTATTAATTATATTTAATGACAGGGGCGACTCAGTGATATTGGGGTCTAAGGCACAATCCAAAATAGAGGCCTTAAATATAATTAACAAAACAAAAGTTCATATACTAGCAACACAACCTTTGCTAACATATTAGTTTCCACATAATTTTGTTATGTGCTGAATTTTTTTTAAATAATACTCTAAAGTCATGGTACACTTTATAAGTAACAGCCTAACAGGTATAGTGAGATGTAGGCAAAATTCACCTTTTCTCTATCAGGTGGATCAAAAGGCAATATTTCTTGATATGAAGTATTTTACTCTTTTAAGTGTTTTACTTGACCTAGATCTGAATTGAACCACTTACAAATTGAATAAAAGAAAATGATATATTTAGATCTTCTAAGAATAAAAATAATTTTATTTTCATAAAATGCATACCTTGTGATCAATAGATAGAGGGATGGCTCTCCTACCACGGCAAAGAACGGCACGTGAATCTCCGCAATTTGCCACAATAATAGTTTTGTCTGTTAAAATTGCGAGCACGGCAGTGGAGCCTCCTAGTCCATAGTTCTGTGGTGGGCATCCACAAGGAACACCTATGCCACACTCATAGCACGTAACAAAAGCCATCTCATCAATCCTCTCAAAGCAGCTCTTCAACACCCTTTTCCACACCTCCTTAACCCTCTCCCATTCCAATTGTTTTCGTCTCTGACGGGAGATGTTATCATTGTTGCTGGTGCTACCACTTATGATGGTCCTTGTCATCATCAACTCTTCTAGTAGTATAAGGTACATTCTACTTCTACACAATCCAGCAACCTGCATCAATAATTCCATTATAAGTACTAATACTTATTCGATATTTTAATTTATTTTATATCCACTTTAATCTAGGCAAGTACTCCTAAAATGGATCGATTTAGATTTATAAATTGTTGCTTATCAATGGAAGGAAATTGGTAAAGAAAAAATATGAACGGATGATAAGAAGGTGAGAGAAAAAATGAATTTTTTTTCTTACATGAGGTCCACCATGTCCATCGTAAACAGCAAAGAAATCAATGGGGCGATGTTTATTGATATAAGGGGAGCAAAGATTTGGCCAAACAGATATCTCATCTTCCATTGAACTCCTTCTTCCAATTAAAGAAATTGATCCAACCAGCGGCACTGGTTCTTCTGGTGCACCTGTGCCTGATGTTGCCGAATTAGAATCAGACATCCTGAGATTGATGATGAAAAATTAATCAACAAATGAAGAAGATTCACATAAAAATCATAGAAGCCTTCTTGGGGAAATCTTCAGAGAAGCATTTTCGAGAAAATCATCAATTAAAAAAGTGCAAAAGCCTTCTAGGGGAAATCGTCATTGAGATTGATTCTTATTGATGCCATTGTTACAAAAAAGACATGGGCATTTATAGGAGTGTGGAAAAGTGACAAGTACATTTTTTGTATTTTTGTAATCTTGTATAGCAGGAAGGAACTCGTGAATGATTTCAAATGTGTATTATACATGTATTTTTATAATTTACATTTGTTTTGTATGTAATTTGCATTATTTATGTTCACATTTATTACATGCATTTGTTTGTTTCTGATATAATAAATCCTCAGTTTCTCAATTAGAGACTAGAGTGACAAAAACAAAATGATGAGATAGAGAGCAATTTTGAGAAAAATTATTATTACTCCCCTTTGTCCCTAATTACTTGTTCATATTTTCTTTTTTAGTTGTCCCTAATTACTTGACCATTTTGATAAATCAAGAAAGAACAAAATTTTTTTACCTATTATACCCTCAATTAATTACTTTGAAAAATGAAATCTTATGTTTTTAATTCATTCAATTCATAATTAATAGGGATAAATGGTAAACTCACTATGTCAATTATTGTTTTTTAATAGGTGTGTCAATTTCAAAAGTGGACAAGTAATTAGGGACAGAGAGAGTACTTGCTTCTTATAGTGTGAAAACAAGGTGTAGCAACCATTTTTTGAGTTTCTAAGTCATGAAAATGACAAGCTTAACATAAATACATTTCATTTTCAACCAACTTTTTCCATCTAGTAAAAAAGTATTTATTATGCTTATACAGAAAAATAAAACATTTAAACATTCTTACAAAATTTGAATGAAAAGTACTTATTATACTTATAAAATGACAGAAAACGTAAAAGAAACAAAAAACTACTATTAGACCTTTTTTTTCTTGTTCTCAGGAATCAAATTTGTAGATGAAATCATTAATTTTATTTCTTACATTAAATAATAAAAAATACTAGTGCTTTTTTTGTCAAAAGAACCAATATAGTGAGAGATTTTCATTAAAATTATATTGCACAAAATTAATGTTTACATGAGTTGCTATTTTCAATCGATTTTCTCTGTATTAAAATGGATCAAAATTTTATACAACTACGTAGAAAAGAATAAATCTGTCAAATTTGGACAAAGTAAAATTTTAAATGGATGTTTACCTTTTATATTGAGAAGTCAAAAATCAAGTGTTTTGCTATCGATATAAGTTGCTCATAGAGTAAAATAATTAAAACAATAAAAATTGTATTACGAAAAAATAAAATTCAACACAACATAAATGTAAGATTTCATTTGCTTACCACATAAAAGAGAGAAGTTCTTTTTCTTTCTTATCTTGACCAATTTCAAATATAATATTGAATCTTCATATAATATTTGAAAATAATAAAATGATAATATATTGAAGCGCCACTAATAATACTTGAAACTTTGTCATCTTCAAGACTCATGTTGGCCTCTTGTGTTGTTGTTGGCGCACATATATAACTTCAGTTCTTTATTGTTGAGTAAGAGTCAGTTCATTTTGCATTAGTCTTCTATTGATAGCAGGCAATGCACCTTATTCTAGAAGGTGTTGATAGACCCATCTGGACACCAAAGATAGCTGAAAAATTTAAGGTCTCTTCAACTTGGAACGTACATCTTAAGGAAAAATGATATATAGTTTCTCCTCTAGAAGCTAAAATATGGCACAAGGACATTCCTTATAAGATGTACTTCATTACCTGGAGATCCTTTCATAATAGGCTCTCCGCAGATGATAAAATTGCTAAGTTCAGCATTGACACTAATACTAATTGCAATTGTTATTTTTATAAGTATAAAGAAATGGTTGAACATCTCTTCTACAAATGAGACTTTGCACAAAGGATAAGGGAAGAGATTGCAAGAAAAATTTGCATCAACTACAAGAACAACTCATTTGGAAATTTGATCATAGAATGTTGGAACTTCAAGACTCTGTGGCATCATATATACATCTTGAAGATCATGCCTCCCATAGTATTATGAGAACTCAGGAGATCTAGGTGCAACTCAAAATTTGACACAGAAAATCCCTCTGTCCTCAGAATCAAGTCCCTGACCACATTAATATTTCATCAACTTATCACAATTAAATTCAAAGGAATCTACACTAATGAGAAGTGGGAGGACATATACCTTTTCCACCTTATTTTTGGAGAAATATTGGTGGAATCCTACTATACCATGGTTAAATGGATATGCCCTCCTACACCACTATTGGGACTCAACACACTACTAAAAAACTGCCAAAAAGAGACGGAAAAAAGCGACGGACTGCATCGCTTTTTTGGCCAAAAGCGACGCAGTCAATCTCGTTTTTTTTTTGGCTCGACGCTTTTTCAAAAGCGACAATTTTTTTTGAAGAATGCGACGCCATCCGTCGCTTTTTTTATTTTTAATTTTTTTAAAAAAAATTAAAAAAGAGACGAAGTCCGTCGCTTTAATTAATTTTTCATTTTTTTAGAATCTTGAAAAGCGACGGACAATGAGTTGCCGTCCGTCGCTTTTTTGGAAATAAAAATTTGAAAAATCCAGAAAAGCGACGAACTAAAGGACCCTGTCCGTCGCTTTTCTGGGTTTTAAAAAAAATAAAATTAAAAAAAGTGACGGACTAAAGGACCCTGTACGTCGCTTTTCTGGGTTTTTAAAAAAATAAAATCCAGAAAAGCGGCAAACAAAACCACCCTGTCCGTCGCTTTTTCTGCAATTTTTTTGGTGCCCACCTGCAAAAGCAATTCAATTCAGTTCAACCCCAATCAAACACAAAACATTACTTCAGGATTTCTAACGTTTCATAACCTAAAGTTCCTACAAAAATTCAAGTTCTCTAAAGTTCATAATTTAAAGTTCTGAAATCCTACAATAATTCAAGATTTCTAAAGTTCACAACTTAAAGTTCTAAAATCCTACAAAGATTCAAGTTTTCTAAAATTCACAACTTAAAGTTCTAAAGTTCTAAAATTTTATAATTATTCAGGATTTCTAACGTTTCATAACCTAAAGTTCCTACAAAAATTCAAGTTCTCTAAAGTTCACAACTTTAAGTTCTAAAATCCTACAATAATTCAAGATTTCTAAATTTCACAACTTAAAGTTCTAAAATCCTACAAAAATTCAAGTTTTCTAAAATTAATAACTTAAAGTTCTAAAATGCTACAAAAATTCAAGTTTTCTATAATTCATAACTTAAAGTTCTAAAATTCTACAATATTCAAGATTTCTAACGTTTCACAACCTAAAGTTCTAAAATCCTACAAAAATTCAAGTTCTCTAAAGTTCACAACTTTAAGTTCTAAAATCTTACAATAATTCAAGATTTCTAAAGTTCACACAACCTAAAGTTCTAAAATCCTACAATAATTCAAGATTGTTAACGTTTACAATCTTATAAAGTTCTAAATACAATAATTCAAGATTTCTAAAGTTCACAACCTAAAGTTCTAAAATCCTAAAATAATTCAAGATTTCTAAAGTTCACAACCTAAAGTTCTAAAATCCTAAAATAATTCAAGATTTCTAAAGTTCACAACCTAAATTTCTAAAATTTTACAATAATTCAAGATTCTAAAAGTTCACAACCTAAAGTTTAAAATCCTACAATAATTCAAGACTTCTAAAGTTCACAACTTAAAGTTCTAAAATCTCACAATAATTCAAGATTTCTAAAGTTTACAACCTAAAGTTCTAAAATCCTACAATAAAGCAAGATTTCTAAAGTTCACAACCTAATTAAAGTTCTAAAACCCTACAAAAATTCAAGTTCATATCTAATTTCTAGAATTTCTAAGTTCAAGAATTTCCAATTTCAAGAATTTCTAAGTTCAAGAATATAATTCAAGTAACCCAATTTTCAACAATAATATAATACATATAAGCACAAATACAATGACAAATTGAAAAATTCAACTAATCTCTAACTTCTAGCTAGCTTCTAATTATTTGTTAGTTCTAACTTCTAATACTTAAGTTACATCATATTTAAAAATCCCAAGTTTTCTAACTTCAACTTTCAAACTTACTAAATTCAAGAACTTCTAAGTTGGAAAATTCAACTAATCTAATTTCAACTTTCATATACTATCCAATATTTTTCTAACTTCAAAGTAATCTATCTAACTTTCATATACAATTGAATGTTTTTCTAACTCAGCGTCAAACATATTAAATTCAAGAATTTCAAAGTTGGAAAATGCAACTAATCTAACTTCTAATTATTTGTTAGTTCTATCTTCTAATACCCAATTCACAATCATATTTTTTTAAAAAACAATTTAGAAGAAAACCCTAAAATCAAAAATCCCTAATTCTCTACCTAACTAACAATAATCAAATATACAAATTAACAATTGAATAACACAATTCATCAAACTAAAACAATATACTAATTTATAACAAATCAAATATTACTAGAATTGAAAAAAACTAAAATTAAACCATAACCTTAATAATCTAAGGAAAAGAGGCATAGGGACGACGGGTGGCGATGCCGACGGGGCTAATGCTCAAGGAGAGAAGGACGGCGGCGGCAGCGTGGGGTGGCGTGGGGCAGCAGCGGCGCAACAGTTTGGTTTTAGAGAGAAGGGAGAGAAAGAGAGATGGGAAAATGGAGGGAAAACCCGCTTTTTGGTTCAATATAATTTAAAAAAAAAGCGACGGACAGCGTCTCTTTGTCCGTCGCTTTTTAAAAAATATTTGATCAAAATTTTGACTAAAAAGCGACGGACTAAGAGACATTGTCCGTCGCTTTTTTAAAATGTTTGACTAGATATTTTGACCAAAAGCGACGGACTAAGAGATGACGTCCGTCGCTTTTTTAAAAAACTAATTAATAAAATAAAATAAATTAAAAACGACGGACAACGTGGTTATTTTTTA